TGAACAATTTTGCTTTTGTGTTCAAAGTTTTGGTTTTATAAAACTGGATGGACTGAAGAGTTGTGTAAGCATTTGAACACTCAAATGAGTCTATTTTCTATTAGTGTTCGAATATCTTCATTCCTCTTAAATTCATGAAAATTTTATCTGAATTATATAAGCATATTAAAAAATCTTTTGGTTCCCCACCCCCCCTTTTTACACAGATCATTATTTTTGTCCTAATAACTTTTTAATTTTTCATTATCAAGGGCATTTGCTGAACTACAAAGATGTATAACAAATTAAAATCTGATGTGAATGATATTAATGCTATTTTAGCAAACTGGGCTTCCTTACTAATACAGAAATTTTAATTTCCATTTGTATCATTTCAATATGCAGTGTAAATTTCATTCAGTTTTTTATAACGACAGAACGGACATCTTACAATGTTATGTGTAACATATTTAACTGCTAAGTACATACGGAAAATACTATACAATTTAATTTCCCTAAACAGTTTTTGTTTTGCCAAAATTTTATTTTTCTACATATTAGATTGTGTTCTGCACTTCAGAGTTCATAGTAAAGATGAAATAAAGGCAGTGATCCACTATGTTGAATAGACTCCTTTCCCAAATCCTAGTCTGACACTGGCTATTTTGAAGCATAAAGAATTAAAAACAAATGCTAATGTATATGGCATTATGTGACAGAGGGTGACCAATCTTCAAAAGGGCTAAGTTACACCATAGAAAGCACCACTGCTGAATGAATTTTGCCATGACAGAAGTTCTCGAACATCATTCAGTGGAGGTATGTGAGAATACAATTAGCAGATTTGAAGACAGGCTTTCAGGGTGCTGAACCTCTATCCTTTCTTCAGGTAAGAAATTAGATGACGCTACACAGAACCCACAGACCAAACCAGCTTTCTGAAAAAAGCTATTTGGGAGAACTTATTAGGGCCTTCTACCTTTCATACCCAACTGCAGAAATCCAGGCCTACAGGCAGGATTTATTATGTCTTGATTTATATACTCAGTGGCAGTGAGAGAAACCAAAGATGTAGCCATCTCTCACCTTTTCCCCTGTCTTCCCATCCTGGTCCTGTGCTGCACTAGACAGGCTCACTATGCCTGAAATGAAAAAACAGGCAAAAACAATGAGGCTCAGAGACAGATTCATAGTTATTTCATTTCAGCAAAACTTAACGGCACCACCAAACTGAGCCCAGTGAACGGATCACAGGAACAATAGTTTCATCAATCAGATTAGCTATCTTCCAAGGAGAGCAGCTACAAGGGTATTTTGGTTTTAGTGCTTCCTAGGCAGTTTAAGCTCAGAGAGTTATTAATAAACCTTTTGCGCCTTGCAGCCTTCAGTTAACCACCCACCTTTTCTCTTCAAAACTAGATAGGGTGGTATGTGTCAAAATACCACTAGGCAATTTTGCTTTTGTTAAAAATGACCCCTGACTGGTAAGTTGCATCTGGACTGGGAAATCTCCAGATACTTGATGCTGCTGTAAGGTCATTTTCTGAAATGTAAGGAGTCCTGACATTGACTTTCTGGCTAGCTGTGGTTCCTATCCTTACAGCTTTCTGAGTAAACTGGTGCCACATGAAGCCTTTTGCAGACTTTGAGTCTGAGGGTTTGGTTTAACCTAAGAAGATCCCCTGGTGAACCTGCAGAAGTAAAAAAATCTTCTCGTTGAAATATGTAGATGAGAGAACAAAGGTCTTATAACACTCCCAGTTTTCTTAATCCATTGATCTTAAAAGCAAAACTTAAGATATTAACTGGGGATTTGGACATCTCAAGGGAAAAGCCCGGACCATATCAGAGCAGCTCACGAAGGCTCTTCTGTACCAAGTGTATTCTCCTCAGTCACAGGATAAAACACACTGTTCACTGCTCTCAGAGGGCAGTGCAATGGACCAGAACAGGGCATTCATTCAAATGGTGTCATGGCCCTTGACAAAGTAATCCACCCCTATTTTTTCTTCCCAACAATGCTCTGGCACATAGTCCAAAATAAATTTTACGGTGAATGTCACATGAAAGCAAAACAATACCCTCCCAAATAATGTAGTACCAAAAACACACATCAAAAAGTGGGATCTCCTAAATTCCAAAATTTCTCTTCCTAATCTCAACCAAGAACTCAGATAACACCATTTAAAAATATTTACTGATTGGGGCGCCTGGGTGGCTCAGTCGGTTAAGCGTCTGACTTCGGCTCAGGTCATGATCTCACAGTTCATGGGTTTGAGCCCCGCGTCGGGCTCTGTGCTGACAGCTCAGAGCCTGGAGCCTGTTTCAGATTCTGTGTCTCCCTCTCTCTCTGCCCCTCCCCTGTTCACTCTGTCTCAAGAATAAACAAAAAAAATTTTTTTTAATATTTACTGATAAATCCTTTACATGTTCTCTTTCATCGTCACAACTCCCTAAGGTTGGTGTGTCTGCTTTTTCTTTGTTGTGGTGATGCTTATAGGTAAGAAAGTGCATCTGAAAGAAGTCATTTTTACAAAGTCCATAGCTAGTTCAGTCTGTGATTAAACACTCGGGAAAATTTTGCTAACAAGTTAACAGAGCTTTCAGATTTTTTATAGAGTAGCCACTTTTCAAATCCATATTTATTCTCAATCCTCAAAAGAACAAAATTAGGATACCCACAAGAAGAGGTAATTATAATCACCAACAGCCCATGTCTATAATATGTTAAGAATACTGCAAACATCTGTCCACATGCGTGTGAGGAAATCAGCATCTCAAACTAGCAATCATGTCTGGAACATACACAAGAACAGTTAAGTGGGGACTGCACAGGAAGAAGAATAAATGGGGTCCTAGGGTTTTTCCCCAAAAGTAGTAGGTCTCACTGTGGGTGAGGAAATGCCAAGAACCACTGTAAAACCTGGTGAATCAAACTCCTGGAAAGTCAAAAAGTAGAGACAAAGTGCACATAAATCAGAATCTTAAGAGCCATACCACATCTTGGAGAAGTGAGCTTATCCCTTATTATTAGAAGGAAGATAATAGCTCTATAAATTAGACCCAGCAACCACACACTCCTGGGTATGGATATAACTTGTACCTAATGTTCATAGGAGCCAAAGATTGGAAACAGCCTAAATACTCTTCAGTGAATGGTTAAACAGGTACACTAAATACAGTGAAATAGAATCAACAATGCAAAGGAATCAACCACTGACTAGATTTAGATCTTAAAGGAATTAGGTCAAATGAAAAAAACCAATTCTCAAAAGGTCACATACACTATGATTCCATTTTATGACACTCTTGAAGACAAAATTATAAAGGAGAGATTAGTGGTTACCAGGATTAGGGATGGTGGGAGGGAGGGAAGGTGGATGGGTGTGACCATAAAAGGATAGCACTAGAGTTTTTTGTGACTTGGTGGAACAGTTGTATAGCTTGATTGTAGTGTCAGCTAAAAATCTACATGTGACGTAATTACATAGAACACACACACGTGAGAGCATTTAGAAGTAAAATCTGAATCAGGTCTGTGGGCTATACCCATTTCCTGGTTTTGATATTGTACTATAGTTCTATGTTACCTCTGGGACTGCTGTACTTTTCCCGCTCAACTCCCTATGAATCTATGATTTCAAAGCAAAAATTTAATAGCGCTAAAAAATATCAGATGACTCCCCCTCCCCCTGCCAAAGGCTCTCTCACTGAATTGCACAAAAACTACTTACCAGAAGTTATCCTTGAACGAATCAAAACCCCTCACTTCCCATTTGATTAGTTGGTATGGCTGGTAACTACACACACACACACAAATCACAGCTTCAGAAAATATTAAAAGTCCCTCTAATGAGAAAATTAAAAATGAGAAATTTTCAGATGAAAATGCTGAAAACAATTCTTTAACACACTATACTGATATGAGTTAAATATAAACTGTAGAAACAAATTCAAATTAGAAATTCAAAAAGAACTGGACAAACTACATGAAAACATGAAATGCCTGCTGACTGGAATCAGAAAAAAAAAAAAAAAACAAGAAAAAGACAAACATCTCGGAAGGAATATATCAGAGGAAGAAAACGAGACCTGGAAGAAATAAGGAACATGGGAGGAACAAACTCAGACAAGAAAATGAAAGAAAAAAAAAAATCAGAGAAGTTTAAAAAATTAGGCAAAGAAGATCTAACATATAATTAAAATCACTGGAAAAAAGATGGAAAAGTGGTTCTCAAAGTGTGGTAAATTTTGAATAAGGGACAATTGAAGATAACTGGACCGTCCTCTTCAAAAAGCCAATGAATGATGTGAGGAAAAAAAAAAAAAAAGATGGGAGAACTGTTCTGGATTTTTAAAAGTGTAAGACATTCTGGGACATTTGAGAAAATCTGAAAATAGCTGGATATTAGATGTTAAAAGAATTACTGTTAACCTTTTATGTGATAATGGGTTTTTGTTTAAAGGATGTCCTTATTCTAAGAAAACGCATGCTGAAATATCTAGGGATGAAATATGTTATCTACAATTCCAAAACTTTAGAAATATGTATATATAAATATGTGAATATATACACATGTAAGTAAAACATAGCAAAAGATTAGCAACTGGAGATGAAGTTTGCAAGTTCGAACATACATACACATCCTGGTTTTATCGAGGATAACACAGAAACAGCCCCTACCAATAGAGTTTACTTTAACAATACAATTCCCAAATCCTTTGGGGGAAAACCCACCTCTACACATACTTTGGTTTATCTAAGTGACATTCAAGATTATCCTTTTTATGAAACAGTTCTGCAGTGGGGGCATCCCAGCCTCAAGTAGTACTGTCCTATTTAAAACATCTTCATTTCTATTTCACCCTTGAGTTCTGCGTTCCTTTCACATTAGAAAATAGAATTTGGGTTTTGTCTAGTGACAAAAATCAGTCCTCCACTTGAGGGTCTATGTCACATTAAAAGAAGAAACCACTCCCATTTTCCGTCCTCTCCTGACTTGAGTTTTTTCCTTATGCAGGTTGGTTCCAAGATCCATCACTTAACTACTTTATACCAAGAACCCTCAACATCCTAACCTCCTAATTTTCACTGCACCTTCTCTGCAAGATCTCAACTTTGCATCAGTCCAACTTGACAATGCATTCCCCCAATGCCACCTCTTAAACAAAACTTTCTTTTATTGATGTCCCATTCTGATGTGATCCATCCTCCCTTAGAAGTCTTATACCACTTTGTATTATTGGTGTCCTAAGTGCACAATATCTCTGCCTCTGAGCCAGGGAGATGTCCTTACCACTCTTATGGCAATTGTTTCTTTTGCCTTGTTACCTGTGAAGAAACTTAAGATTTTGTATATTTAAATTTGTTAAATGGTTACATTAAAGAAACTGAGAAAACAGCCATAGAACACATTGATGGTTTATATATTATTTATGTATTATCTTTGTAATGTGATGAAAAGGCAGTGTTTCTTAGATACTTCATGTACTTTCTTCTCTGACAAATTCTCATTTCTGGTCACTGAAACCTGTAAGCAACTGAGCAGCTTCTGTCTGTATCTAAAATGGAAAAATACACGTTATAAATAAACAGCACAGCATAGGTATCAACTTGTGAAATCTAAGTTCATAAAGTGGGCTCTGGTTTGTTTCTAAGAGTTCACAAAAACCAGGATAGCACATTGTAAAAATAAAATTTAACAGTGACTGGGTAAGACTCTTCCATGTTAATACACATCCGTTGCCTTTTGTTTTAGAAATCTTATTTGATCTGTCATGTATGTCAAACAGGAATAAGGCAGCAAGTAACTCATAACATCTGTTAATAGTAACTAAACATTTGCATACAGAAATTAATGGAAATGTTAATGAACTCACATTTGAAATGAATACTCTTGTTTTCAACAATGTGCATTTAGATAGTTTTTAAAGAAGTTCTTACTTCACGTTTAATAGTGCCTCAAGAAACCTATCTGCCTTAATTTATTGGAGATGTGTTACCTGTTTATCCTCCTCTGTGTGTGCTGGATAGTCCTTGGCTTTCATTAGCCAGAAGGCAGCAAGCTTTTTGTTGTGTAACTTCAAATAGGTCTTTCCTAAAAGAAGCAAGTTTTTGCTGTAGAAGTTTGGATCCACTGTACAGAAGAAAGAAAAATTTATTTCAGATGACATACTTGTAGAGGCTTAATTTTTTCAGTCTAAATTCCAATAATAAATTTATGTGGTCAATAAAAGATTAGGCTAACTCGAATTCTCTTTTGTTCAACTATTCCTATCTCAGAAAAATGCTGGTTAAGTATCATTCATTCAGTGTCTACTATATGATGGGAGAAGTAACAGGTAATGGGAGCCTAGGAGGAGCTTCTAAACCAGATATGGTCCTTAAAGAAAGGTTGCTCAGGAGAACTGACCTGGAGTAAACTGACCTAGAGTAAAACCTGGAGATGACTATAATTATTGAGGATTTTTTTTAGCTCTGTAAGACATGACCATGCTTTTTTCTCAACACCCCAAACCCTTATTCCTTTAAGGCTCTAGGTTTTATTTGGCAATTATGCTTCTAAATCCCTCTGAGGAAATTTTATTCCCAAATTCATATTCATGATCTATAGAACTACCACCATAACAGGTTATCAGTGAAAGATAGTAATAGAGCATATCAGAATATATTACTGACAGTTTAACATGCAGACTCAATTCTTTATCAATGTTTTTTTTATTTTTTTATTTTTTTTATTTTTGGGACAGAGAGAGACAGAGCATGAACGGGGGAGGGGCAGAGAGAGAGGGAGACACAGAATCGGAAACAGGCTCCAGGCTCCGAGCCATCAGCCCAGAGCCCGACGCGGGGCTCGAACTCCTGGACTGCGAGATCGTGACCTGGCTGAAGTCGGACGCTTAACCGACTGCGCCACCCAGGCGCCTCCAGACTCAATTCTTTATAAGAAATTTTTTTTTTAAATGCTTTGCTATCAGAAAAGCATTTGAACAAGTCCATATAAGTAGGCTCTCTAATATAGTCTTTAATATTCTTCTGATTAATTTTATAGAAATAAAATTACAGTGGTTTCTTGGGTGTATTTGGTAACATATGCTTATGTCCTTTACTTTTCTAGTTTGTGCTATTAAATTTAAAAAGGAAGAACTTAGGATGGGCTGGTGTCAGTTTTGTAGGGCTGGCCATTTCTTCAAAGCAAGAGTGACATGAAACTCTTCACAAAAGAAGACAATATCTGTAACAAAACAAAAACTGGCCTGGTTTAAAAACAAGACGTCTTATTTAAGTGCTATCTGAAAGTTGCTAAAAGAGTAAATCTTAGAAAAATTTTTTTAAAATGTGGTAGTCATTAACTAGACTTATTGTAATCATTTACAACATATACAAGTATTGAATCCTTATGCTGTACACCTGAAACTAACATAATGTAGTATGTCAATTATGTCTCAATAAAAAAATTTTAAACATTTAAATACATAATAAATGTTCCTAATCCGCTGTATAATCTTGAATAAGAGAGTTAACATGTCAAAGCCTCCTCTCAAAAGGAAGGTTGAATTACATCAAATAAAGGACCATTCCAGAACTGTAGCTCTAAATTCAGCAGCAACCTACTTCTTACTCAGGTGATCTTTACTGAATAAAGACTAACAAATATTTGATAATGTCTACTGCAAAAAGAAGTAGATCAGAATAAGTAATATTTTATTTTAAAAATTTCTATTATAGGGGTGGCTCAGTTAAGTGTCCAACTTCAGCTCAGGTCACGATCTCATGGTTCATGAGTTTGTGCCCTACAGCGGGCTCTGTGCTGACAGCTCAAAGCCTGGAGCCTGCTTCAGATTCTGTGTCTCCCTCTCTCTGCCCCTCCCTGGCTCGTACTCTCTTTCTCTCTCTCAAAAATAAACATTTAAAAAATGAGGATATTAAATAAAAATTTCTATTCTATATAAAGCATTCATACGATTTTAACTGTATTAGTATGTGAAATTAAAAATGTTACCTTGCTCTGCCCTGTGAAAGTAGCCTAAGGCCTGTTAAAAACACAACCCAAACATAATGAAAAGGGTTATAACAAAATCAATATTAAAAAAAACTTTTGTTCAAAAGTCAGGAAGTAAATTAAGATATCTTAAAGTCCAATTCATTGACAGAGTTAACACAGCAAAATTGAACATATTATTAAATCATCGGAGCACAGATTACGGTATATGGACCACTTCAAGTAATAACTTGATTGCTGTTCAGAACTTGTACCAACCAAACATCAAGTGCAGAGAGGAAAGAACATCATCATATGCAACAAAGCTATTCTGATCTTTCTCTTCTTAAATCATAATAGTCACTACTAGTAAAAACTTGATAAAATCAAAAGCTAAATTTACTCAGTGGTATATAGGTTGTACCAATAAATTTTTAAAACTCCTTTATTACTGAAATTCCAACATAAAATGCTATTGTGAATCTGAAACTCTTAGTTCTTTTTGTTCCACTTCAACTGTTTTTATAATGTATTAACTGATTTCTTAGAAACATAACTAACTTGTTATAGTAGAGCTGACAGTATTTTCTTAGAATATATTCTTTTTAATAGCAGTATTTCCCCACTGTGTTCTAATTTTTCAACTAAATATTTTTACATCAAATTCTACAATATTATTTCCCAGAAGAAAAACATAGCTCCTTGTTATGGTATAGGTATTATGGAAGCTTTTTCAATGGCCTTATCTCCTTACTCTGAAAATTTTAGTGATGTTAACTCAAAATATTTGCCCAGAAATCCCTTTCAAATTTTATTTTTAACAAGGAAGCAAAAGGCCTTGAAAATATAAGAGTATGAACCTTTCAACCCCACTTTTTAAAAAAAGTTACAATTACTCTTTATCTATACAAATGCACACTTTCTTCTCTAGGTAAATTGTAGTGTGTAGAACACATACCTAAAACATGCTGAACAGCAGCTGTTGAATTTCTTGTTCTATTTTATGACTTTTATATGGTATATAGGTTTCAAATAGAAAATGATAAATTTTAGCCATGAGCTATTATAGCTAACAACATACCAGAGTCATCAGCCACTCACCTAAAGAAAAAAAACCACTCACCAGTCATAGATTATAAGTATTAAGCCTTTGTGATAAGATAGTTGCATTGGATGGTTTAGAAACGTGCTCAAATGCCTCACTGATCAGAGCTCCAGATCTGGACACTGTAGAATGGCACTGCAGTTAGGAAACCAGTACTAACTTAATAAAGGACAGCACACTACCTCCTCATAGGTGGAACTAGGAGGAGTTGCAAACAGCATTTTAGCAATTCTTCTTTGATACCAAGGCATTTCAGCAAATGTATAACACCTATAGAGAAATAAAATAACATCTATATATCTGTAATTCACCTTTTTTTTTCTCTTAAGAAAACTAAGCATCTTTACATATAAAACGTATCTTCTCCTGTTGTACGTTTAAACAATTTGTACTTTACATAATAATATCCAGTAGGTTAATATGCCTACTAAATTACCCAGAGACTGGTTTATATTGATCCATCAATTAAGGTATATTTTGTGATTAATATAAATAGTTAGGGATAGTACTAGTAATGATAACAGCATATATCATTCATCACTAAGTGCTCACTTTGTTTCAGGTGCTAGGTGATTATCTCTCATCCACTCCTTACAAGGACTAAATGAGTTTGGATCATTACCCCTATTTTTTGCATTAGAAAGACTAACTCAGAGAAGTTTTTAAAAAATTGACAAAACTATGGGGTGACTGGGTGGCTCAGTGGCTCAGGTCATGATCTTGCAGTCCGTGGGTTCGAGCCCCACATTGGACTCTGTGCTGATGGCTTAGAGCCTGGAGTCAGGTTCAGATTCTCTGTCTCCCTTTCTCTCTGCCCCTCCCCTGCTCACGATCTGTCTCCCTCAAAAATAAACATTAAAAAAATTTTTAATTAAAGTAAAATGACAAAACCAAACATGATATGCATAAATAACAATGACAAAACACAACTTAAGCCTACCTATTTGAAAGAGTGAAGCAAATGATTAACATCCAAAGATCTTGACAAATTTCTGATAGAAGTAGGGAAAAAAGTGCTAGATCTCTGACTATGGTCTGAATTCCTTGAGGTAGGCTTGTATCTCATTCATGTTTACTCCCTAGCATCTGACTTAGTGACTGTCTCTCCATTATCATTAGTCCTCAGAAAGTGTTTTGTTAGTTTAATATGGCCCTGAAGGATATTTAACTCTTTAAGAGTCTGATACAAGGTTTTTTACACCAAAAAGAAGACAATAAAATATTCAGATCTGCAGACTACACCCAAAGAAAACATGGCAAACCTGTCTCAAGAAAGGATAAATATCTTTCTTTTAGAAAGATACTAAAAGTCAAAATTATATTGCTGTTCAGATGAATCAGACTGTATTTTATACACTTTGAAGATGCAAAGACTCTCTTAGAGCATCAAACTGTATTGCTACATAATTAGATGAATCCAATTTCATTGGATAAAAATAATCTTTCCCAACAAAAGGAATTTCAAAGTCTAGCAAGAAGTTTTAATGCCTTTTTCATCTTAGTATTTACTTCTAAGTGATCTGAACAACAATGGTTAACACAATTACAATCAAATTTAGTATTTTCTAACAATACATCACAACTGCTAGTTAGTATAATGAACTAAATACTCATGAATGTCAAATACTTTTAAATATTTTACATCTTGTTTCATATACTACAAAATAAGAACATACTAAGTACGACTGGAATATTTACTTAAGAAATTTTCTTACCAAATACCCATAAGGTGAATGGAGGTAGCATCTTTTGGGTTCAGTTCAATTGCTTTCTAACAAGAAAGGAGAAGGTCAATCATATCTGTGTTCTAAACACAAATAATGCTTGTGTTTCAGCAAGCATAAAGCCATGATGTAAAAAAGTTTTTTGGCAACCCTGCATTTCAATCCTTCTAGGATAATGAATATCAGCTTTTTCCCTCTTGATTCTTTAATTTGGTTAATAAATTCATTTCAATACACTGTTAATGACTTGTATTAAAGGTTCTGTTTTATAAAGTTTGGCAATAAATCCTGATAGGATTTATCAATATGAGAAAAAACATGAAATCTGTAAATCAATCTCATTTTGAAAACTATAGTTCTCAATGTTTCTTCTAGATAAGAAAAGGAAGTTATTTTTGGCAAGTTCTATATGAATATTGCATTAAATAGCATTATTTACTAAAGAAAAAAGTTACATAATAATTTTACAAAGTCTCTTCTTGTATTTAGAATTTATTCAACCTCCCCATTTATCCTTAACAAAGGAAAAATGCTATTTAGTCACAGAATTTATTAGTAAAACAATTATATGCAATGTAAAATACATTGATAAAGTCTCCCTAATTTCTATTTACTATGTGAAAGTCCTATGTGAATTAATGTAAAGCATAAACTACAGATTAACTTTAACCCAACTATTCCTTTTTTCAATTACTTTGTTGAACCCACTAAGAATATCTCACATTAATGTTAATCCTATTAAAAATAAAAGACCCTTGTTAAAAAATTGAGACCTTCTATTTTATGCTTTTCAGTAAACCCACATTTTCACTTTCAGTTATTAATTATGAGATACGCATTTTAAAATATTTGTAACTGGTTATCAGTGTGAGCTCTGAAGCCAAGACTGACAGAAT